CCTGGTGATGAGTGGGTATGCTTACATGGGCATAAGTAACCGGATCAAATGGCCGGTCGGAATAAAAGTGTGTCATGTAAACACTCCGTTCGTGTTATTTTTTGTGTATTCGGCGCAATCCGATGTAATTTGTGATCAGAACGAAACGGGTGGTTTACGCCGATCCGAAACCCGATCGGTGCGCATGTAAACGCTTGATCTGTTCCTTTTTATCTGATCATGAAAAACTGACCTGACTGCCCATGTGCAACTTTGCCATTTCTGCCTGGCTAACGCTAATAATATTAGCATGTCATGGAAGCAAAACTGGTCGGTGAGCGACACAACATTTCTATTAGAAACTTTGAAAGAGCTCAAAATGATCTGTATTATCTGTAGCTCAGTCAGGGAGTGCAATAACGTCTCCACCATCATTAAAACATGTCGCAGGTCCATTTTGGGTGCTCAGTTTGTTTACGTTCACCCCGGAAGTAGAACTTCTTCTTCGGTGTTTTTTTTTTAAGGAGAGTTTACCACTCTGCGCATGTCAGTACTGCTGTTCAGAACAAAGCCCGCTGCATGTAAACGCTCGTCATGAACAGATTGTGCCCATGTAAACAATACATTTGAATTATTCAAACAGAACACATTTCAATCCGGTCAAAGAATTCTGCGCATGTAAACATAGCTAGTGTAGACCGCAGAATCCTGGCCTGATGATGTCGATCTTCTGTTAGTTAGAAGTTAGAAGAGGATCATGGCCTCAGATTTGGAAGTGCTGATTCTCTTTCCCGCCGCTTCACACTTAGCTGTGAACCGGACTCCCTCTGCCCCCTTCCTGCACCAAGAAATTTTGTCCATAAAAGCTATGAACAGAATCAATGACAACGGGCAGCCCTGGCGGAGTCCAACTCCCACTCTGAAGGTGTCCAACTTACTGCTGGCTATGCAAACCAAACTTTCTTGTAACTTGCATAGGGATTGAAACAGCCCATAGCAACGGACCCCCAATCCCATACTCGCAGACACCCCCCCCCCCCCCAGTGTACCCCGAGGAACATGGTCAAGCGCCTTCTCCACGTCCACAAAACGTATGCAGACTGAATGGCCAAACTCCCATGACCCCTCAAGGACCCTATTTTAATGAGCTTGTCCAGTGTTCCACGGCCAGGCTGGAGCCTATATTGTTTCTCCTGGATCAGAGGTTCAGCTACAGTTATGGACAGACCAGCCCCGAAGTACACCGTCTCGGCGTCCTCCATGGAAAGCTTTGGAAGTTTAAGGTGGGATTGAGAAAGTCCAAGACTTATTCCTTACACTTCCTGACGACATAGCTGGTTGAGGTCAAGAGCACCCCACCTTTACTCAACACAGTGTTAATAAAGCACTTCTTCCCCTCCTCAGCTTCCTTAAGGTTTGCCAGAATCTCCTTGGAGATGACCAAGAGTCTCTATCCAAGGCTTCACCGAACTCCACCCACAACTGAACTTTTGCCTCAGCAACAGCCAAGGCTGCAGACTGTTTGGCCCGCCTGTTCTCCGCAGCTGCCTCCAGAGTTCCACCAGCCAACCAAGCCCGATAGGACTCCTTCTTCACCTTAACAACCTCCCTAATGTGGGGTGTCCACCACAGAATTTGTGGACAGCCACTGCAAGAAATACTGACAACCTTGCAGCCACAGCTCAAGGCAGCCACCTCAGCAATCGAGGCATGGAGCATGGCCCACTCTGACTCAATGTCTCCCTTCTCAGTTATTTATCCTAATGTGCTTTTTTTAAGCTTTAATGCACGTCTTATACTTCAAGATTAGAAAATTAATTCATATTTTTATTTTCACGTTGTAATGTATTGTCACTTTTTTTCTTTGGGTTAAAGATAAAAAAAAATACTTTCTACAACTCTAACTGTGCTGAGATGAATGAAATAAGGAAATAACTATTTGTTTAAAAAAAGTGTAATATTGAGGTTATTTCCATGTACAAATACTTTTAACCAACTCTGCTTAAAACGCAATAATTTGTGTTTAGTTGTTTTTATGGCTAATGGAAAATTACAGAAAATCACAATTTCTATAGATTTGTATACTACATATGTATTTCTTTGGAAGCTTATTTTATCAGTAATACTGAATTTATTTATGAAATGAAATACTGTTTTACATGAAATGATTAGAATACTTTTCTTGTTTTCAATACTTTTATGCCTAATTTGTCTAAGTTCTTAGTTAGTCTTTCTGGTGATTAATGCTTCAAAATAAAAGGCTTTAACCAGTGGTGTAGTCTACATTTTCGTAGTGGGTATGTGCTTAGACACCAAAGTACCGTAGTACAATGTAATTGTCAATTTATTTTGATTTTCCCGAAGCACCTCCCTAGGAAACGGAAGATAATGGATGGATGGTCACACATACAAACACGCATACATTATCATTATTTATTATTATAAGTTTGTTTGTTTTTTTTAGTTCAGACTTCCAAAGTAAATTGGACTAAATATGAAAGTTATTTAGGCTTTAAGTGACACATGTAAATATGAATGTTTTAAATTAAGTGTTTCTTAATAGAATTTGTGTTTAAAAAAATAATTTAATGTAATCCGACCAATAATTGTTGCTTAATAAGGGTGTGGCTGTTTATTGCTCTCAAAACTTTGTGCTGGTGGCTTCAAAGGTTACTAATACTTTCAACATGACAAAATATAAATATCCGATCTAAACTTTTATTCTGAAAACCCCCTCGCCCTTGTTCCGGCGATGCTCTGCGTCAGTCTCGCTAGCTTTACGTAGCTGGAGTGGCTTCCGGTGGCACAGACACCTGGCGAAATACAAACACACTCTTCTCCCCCAGCCCCACCTCTGATACTGTTGTTCTCCGAGACCGTTTATGATGTGTTTCACCCCAATCACTAGTCTGGCCCCGACGTTTCAATGTTTCGGCATATCAATGACGCATGCCCAATTACCATATATGTCACGCATCACTGGGCACTTTTAAGTGCGTATACGGAAATTCCCAAGCTTTTCTAGTGGGTATATGGCATATACCCACGTATCACATAGACTACACGACTGGTAAGGTAACGTGATAAATAAATAAAGTGCTATGTGTTGTCATCATTGTATGTTCTCATACAAAGACGAAATTGACTCTCTGCATTTAACCCATTGTACCTGGGATACACCCAGGTGTAGCAGTGGGCAGCTATGCAAGTACTCGGGGAGCAATTCGGGATTAGGTGTCCTGCTCAGAAACACCACGAGATGTGCAATGACCGTGGATCGAACCCAGGACCTTCGGGTCCCGAGTCGGCTGCCCTGCCCCTACCCCATCTCAGCCCTATCAAGGCATTTTCACATGAAAGTGCAAAATTTATTTTATACTCAAGAGTTACACATTCATCTAACGAGGTTAAATTCTAATGGGTTAGCTAATCAAGAACTCTTGAGCCTTTTGTCAAACTGATTTCTAAACAAATGTCCCCAGTTCTGAGATAAGACTACAGTTTTTTACCTTTATTCTGCAATTCATCATCTTCAAATGGTCCACATGAGTGGTTTACATAAAGCCAGACCTCAGAGGAGGGAGCTGCTAAAACATTGCTGCTCTTTTGCCGCTTTGTCATTAAGTGCGGCTCCACTCGGCTCTTCTTGGTTCTTCTCAGGTGAAGGTGATATGCCACTACAGTGGTGACTGACCTGTTTCCCAGCTCTGTGGGCAGGATCATCAATGCAAAGGCGGAATCATCCCATACTTGCTGATTAGAGTTGAGACAGTGGCAACATGCCAAATGTTTCCCTTGACTGACTGACCGTTGATTGCTGTGCACATTAAATGCTCATCAGTCCCAGCTTTAGTTTTAGGAACACGGGAGTATGGCCTGTCTAAGGTCCATTCTAACACTTGACACACATTTTTCTTTCACGTATACAGATATGCACGGTTGAAGCTCACTCTGACTTCTCGTATCGGAGAAAAGAGGTTGTTCCCGCATTATTTACAATAATTAAAAAGTATTGTAACAAACACAGACATTTATTTCTTATTACTCTGTTTTATCTTTGTCCTGAAATGCAGATTTATTTTATTTATTTTTAGTGTTAGCAGTTAGACCAAAAACCTTAACACCTTTTTTGTTTTTCTCCTGGTTCGTTTGCCACTTTAAAACCTGTCTTTATTCCTTTTCTCAAATCATCTGTTAAATACTTTCATTGCTAAGCTTCTCATCAGTACAGATCATGAGCCAAAATTTAGTCTGTGCAGATGCTGCAAGGAAACATCATCACACCTGAGCTGCACACAGCTTTAGACATGTGCTTGGCTCCCTGGCTAAAAATTGCAATTAAGCAAGTGGGGAGAAATTAGATGCAAAATGGCCTGTCAAAAAGTCACATTTAAGTGAGGGATGCACTAGCACATGCAGTAAAAATTTAAATGATATAAATTGCCATTTAAGTGCAGCACAGGCTAATGTTTAGTCACAAATTAATGTGACACAAGGCAGCAATGACGATCAAGGGCTGCCTCATTCTAATTTTGTCGTGTTTAGAGGGCTTTTGTGAGCCTGCGACTCTACACAAATTAACACTATTGCCTGTTTTTATGAGAAAACCATAAATGGTTTTTCCCCTCCTTTGCCGGCTAATGAGGAGAGAAAACGGCTTGTATCTAAATAATGGCGACGCAGAGACGTCTGCTGGAGGAATAACACAGGCTGTCGTCGGCTCACAACCAGCCGAGAAAGAACAAAGACAGAAGCTGAAATGACTCCCTAATGAGTCACTGGAGTTTTGATGCTCCCTTTTAATCAGATTTTGCTTGTTATAAAAATCATCTGCAGATTGCATCACATAATTAGCAGGAATTCCACCTTCTCTGAGCAGTTTGCCTTTGAGGAGCATTAAGATTGGTAATGGGAGGAAGAACATTTTTGAGGAGCACCTTTTGGTCAAAGTTTGGTGTTTAAATGGCTTTCATATGTTGACATTTCTAATAGTCTTAATCTGTCCTCCGTTTTTGTTACAGGCTCTGGAGAGTGAGTTTGTGTCCTGTCAGCTTCACCAGTGGATCGACTTGATTTTCGGCTACAAGCAGCAGGGACCAGAAGCTGCGAGAGCGCTCAATGTTTTCTATTATCTAACCTACGAAGGCGCAGTCAACCTCAGCTCCATCAGTGACCCCATGCTCAGAGAGGTGAGGCTGCAAGTTTGTACACAGACATTTTAATACGTTGCTGATTTAACTCCATAAGATTATGCTGAGTTAGATACAAAAATACTATTACGGTAAGTACACTGGAGCACTCTCAAATGGATGCTTAATATGACTACAATACAAAAGCATCTATATTTCAAAGGAGTTTTCAATGCCATTAGCAACGCTAAATTGTCTATAGAGCGGCACAAGAGAGCTAAGCTAACAGTCTACTGGCAGGTATTGCTGAGCAAAGCTTTTCCCTTGTGTAATACTTTTTTGAAAGCACTCTCCACCAAGTGTTCCACTTTAACGCCTTAAAGCCTCCCTGGCTTTCATTTATTATTCATTCCCACCACTTTTAACTGCTGCACATACAGGCTATGCTGGCCTGCACAAAAGCAACCACACGAGACATAGGGCTGAAATCAAAACACAGCAAGCTCGCCCACCACCAAACACCGGCTTAACAACTTCACCAACCTGCTGGAAAAAGCAGCTTGCTAGCAGCAAAGCCAATTGACCCAGTTGACATCATCCTTTTTTTTTTTTAAAGCAAAGGTTTAGCATGAAAATATATTTGTCTTGATATAATATTAAAGGTTTATTCATTCATTTATTCATTCATTCATTTCAACCTGGTTCTTAGATGACCCATATTTTTGTTGCTTTGAACCGTAATTACTGGATTCTGGTAATCTGTCACTGCTGACTTGATTATTCAGAATATCTTTGCTATGTAATGTCAGATTACTGAAGTAGGAAACTTAAAAGTTTGCTTAAAATGTGTGTCTATTATTGGATGATTGATGCCTCCTTGAGCTTTATTTTGTAAGTTTATTTTTAAAGCACCTGTTTCAAATGATGAAACAGAGCTTTGAATTGAAACACAATGAGGGGAAAAAATACATATTAAGAGGAAATCAGTGCAAGCTTTGTATTATACATACCTGTACTCTCTAATGTACGACTTGTATAAAAACACTTGTTTACAAATTGAAATGACACTCGTTTCACATAAACGGACATTAATTTATATATTTTATGCTTAATAAAATGTGCACAGTATGTCAGTAAAACTATTAATCGCAACTAGCTGATTAGCAATTAGCATAGAAGCTAACATGATATTGAAAATGCCATTAAAAAGTTAACCTGATTAGCGTTTTTTGTCAATTAAATTTATACATCATTTGGAACTGTTTCTGTCCCAAATCATGCATGTCAAGGTCATTAGTAAAAACAGTTATGTTAAGATGACCCAAAATATTATTTACAGATGTACATTCTTCAGACTTTAGTGAAGAAAAGGTGAAAAATAAGTGAAAACACATTGCAGCTTGTTTTAACCACAACTGCTATAACAGTAGTAGATCAAACAACTATATATCCTGCTACTGACACATTTTTCAGACTATGTCACAGACGATGGGGAGTAATTTATTTATTACATGTGATCCCTAGGTAAAACTAATTCTGTGTGATTAGGGCTTTAGAGACAACTGAGAAAAACTTAACACAAGTAAAATGCCCCCAAAGGTGATGTGGAATGAGATTGGTGAATTTACCGATAACTTGCTTGTCGGACTCGTTGGCTTATGTTTATTAAGCCTGTTCAGGATCTCAGGTATGTTCTGTGTGTTGTTATTTCAGATTAAATGTCTGTTGTTGCACTTTGTGAAATACACTTCTAAATAAATGCAACTTATATTGTTTTTTTCCTCTTCATGAGGCAGTTTTTGGCTGATGCGACCTATAATCTGGAGCGACTTATAGTCCGGAAAATACGGTACTATTCTGCTGATTCTGAAGTGGCAGCACAAATTAACATGAACAAAATAGATATTTGACAGTTGATTCAGAATGTTCCATGTCCACCAATACAATGCATCTAAATATAAATTACACTGTATCCCCTACCCATACTGTTAATACATCATAAAAACAAAATCTCCACAGTCGGAGTGCAATGGCTGGAAGAAATGTAGCTGTGAATTTCAAGTTTTGCATTTAAAATGTGTTTCTATAACCAAGGGCAGTAATGGACAAAACAATGGAAACAAGGTTCATTATGTAATAAATAAGACTTCTCTTGGCATTCATGTCTAAATGGAGATTAGTTCAGAGTATATCAAGTGGCCGAGCAGCCTTCTGCCTCCCCTCTCGCTGCCCTTCATGCTCACTGACTGGAGCATCGCGGGCACAAGGGGTAGATCTTTGATTTATCACCTCATTCACCCTAATTCCCATCCAGATGTGCTATGGCCTTTACACACACACACACACACACACACACACACACACACACACACACACACACACACACACAAAGATTCATTATCTGAGTTGCCTGGTCATTTCCACACGCAGTGCATTACCCATTTTTCTGTTTAAGACACACATGCCTACATGTACATGTACACTAGAAAACTGGATCCCTGGTCCTTCACTGTTTATGCTAAGCTGTTCCAGTGATGATGCTGTTTATTATTTATCTACCAAAAGATGCAAAACCATCAAAAGCAGATGAATATGATCTGAGTTGTATTAAAACAGCATTCATCCACTGTGCTACCATAATTTGAACTGTAATAATGAACGATTGAAATGCACATAAAACAAAAGCACAGTGGATTAGTGGTTAGCGCTGATGGCTCACATCAAGAAGGTCCTGAGTTTAATCTCCAGGTTGGGTCTTGGATCTTTCTGTGCAGAGTTTGCATGTTCTCCTTGTGTTTGCATGAGATTTCTCCAAGTACTCAGGTTTCCTGCAACCATCTAAAAACAGTCATGTTAGAATGCCTTCAGGCCAGGCCTCCCTTGCAAATGAGCTCTGCGATCTCAATGGGATTTGCCTGGTTAAATATAGGTTAATAAATAAATAAGTACAGTAGTCCCTCGTTTATTGCAGGGGTTATGTTCCAACCCCCCACCTGCACGAAGAGAAAAACCGCAAAGTTTGAAAGCTGTATTTATTTTAGCATATTTTTTAAGGCTTTATAAACCCTTCCCACATGCTTGCAATGTTCTAAATTCTTAAACCGATGTAATTTTAACATATGTTTATGTACTGCATACTAGCTATGTACTGCAAACAAAACTACACAACGGCCCCGATCGAGTCCAAATCCAGATGAAAAAGTCTCAGTGAGTGCCGGAGAAAACACCGGACCTCCAAGCGATGCCTCGAGAGGCTCCCTGAGCTGGCAAGCAGCACTCAGATTGACCGGTGATGCTGGAAGTCCAGTTCTGGTCCAATTCCTGGTCATTCCATACGGCTCTCTGCATCCACAGAGCGCCAAAGTCACTATGAATAAGGACCGAACTTTCAAAACTTTCCCTTCATTTTGGCAGAAAGCAGTGGCCGGAAGCACTGTTGGCTTCTGGGAAATGTAGTCCTTTTCAGTGGCGAGACAGTGTAGGCTTTTGAGCGAAAACTACAAAATGGTAGCGCCTGTCCAAAGTTTTTTTTCATTACCTTTTTACTGTATCCCCTGCTGTCCCAGTCACGTGAGTAATAATTAAGTTGGCAATCATGTGTCATGTACAATATTTTTTTTCTTATTTGCAATCTTACTTTGAAAAACGCGAAATAGCAAGTCCGCAAACGTCGAACTGTGAAGTCGCAAGGGACTACTGTATTGGTCTGAGTTATTGTTAAAAATGTTTTTTAGTTTGAGTTGGGATTATCTTGCAAATTTCAATAACTTTTAATTTAAAGTTATCCAGTTTTCTGGTATTTGAAGAAAAATATTTTCAGTGTTCTACATGTAGCAGTATAAAACAAGACAACTGTTTTATTGCTACTGCCATTATTAGTGTCGGTGAAATACAGAAGCTAAAATTATCTGTTAATGTGTAGTGTTCTTAAAACTTTGAAGTTCATTTTGCTCCCAGGTTATAAAAAGAACTCGTCGTTTTCTAGACCCACTCTCTCTACGATGCCGTGGATCCAGTCTGCTGCTTTTTAAACTCTGAAAACACGTCCAGTCTGAGCACTTTAATTAGTTAAATAAACAAAAGCCGTGTTTCCCTTGTGAGCTAATCCAAGGTTCTCCCGTCGGCAGTGTTTGTGCGGAAGGAAAAGTGCCCTGTCTGTGCAGAAGGTGGAAACAGTTTCATGCCTGGACCTCATCACATTCAAACGCTGGAGGGGACTGGCTAGAGGGCTGCAGGAACTCTGAGACTGACGGCTTTGCATCTGAAAGTGTCCCCAGAGTCCGTCATTACTGAATGACAACTGTTTGAGCCAGAGTTCAGAGTTGTGGTCTTAGCCGGGATAGGCTGCATTAAGGCGAGCCCTGGGGCAGAGCAGTGGGAAGGGGGATGAGTCACAGATGTGTATTTGTGTACGTTTGTACGAGACTGGTTTATATGATTTTGTCTTTTTGCTTTGCAGATCCTATACTCCTGCCATGCTTTCTGGCAGACGCCAACTCCCACAACCCTCAACCTTTCCCACATGCACAAAGTTGATTTCTCGAGATAACACATAGACACAATATGCATACAAAATATGCGTGTGTGAAAATTTATTTATAGGCAAGGGGGGCCTTGCCATTTGTATATTTCTGTGTGCTCATCAACCAAAAAAAAAAAGAAAACCACAGTTTATGTTTGTGTGCATTTTGGTTCTGGAAAAAAGTTTGAACGTACAGATTAGTGTTAGTGAATGCTAACACTGAACTGTGAATACCAGTGTCATGTTTTTAAAAACCCTGATTGTTTCCTGTCTAGCTTCAACCCCCCACCCCCCACCCCCCTAAAAAACTGTGCATACACATTCATTTATGTTGTGGTGCAGGGAATTGCATTCACATCTGTGTTGCCTCTTGGTGTATAAAGAGAAATTTACCCTGATTTCCCTTTTCGTGGTTCTACAGGGCTTTTTCCTCTTTCCCGTATGATTATGGAAAAATCCCACAGCCTCTCACACCGGCGACAAAACAGAGCTCCATTTAAATTGTACAGTGTTTGCTTAATTCGGCAGAAGATGGGAA